TGTTTAAGTATAAAAGGTTAAAAATAGGTTTCTCAAATTTATAAATATTAATAGATATGTTCAGAAAGTCTTCATATTTTTGTATATTGTATGGAATTAACTCAACTGGATAAGACATATTTAAACACTCATATCTTTCAATGTTATAGCAAGATGCACGATCAGAGTTTTTAACAGGGTTCAGTATACTTTCCAATGCATATTCAAAACATCTTAGATTTTCTTGCTTTAGACATTTGAATATTCTTGTTTTTACATTTTTAACGTTGATGCAAGAATGTTTATGAGAAATAAAGCTTGGTAATTAAACAAAGGTTCCACCTCGTAATGGATGGGATTTATCAGATAGAATGTCTAGTTGAATAATTCTATCAAATCTATATTTTATATTTTTGCTTGTAAAGGCTTCAAATTTACTTACTATTTTATTTTTTGCATTTTTTAAGATATCCTCTATAGAGCTCTTTTCGGTATAGATTTTATTTGGTGTGGAACTTATATATATTTTATTTAAATTGATTACATCACCCGTTAAATTTAATTCTTGATATTGAACAATCACAACTAAGTGAATTTTTACACACTTCTTCCGTTCAAGTTCTTTTTTGATAGTTTCACATATTTTGTCCTGAACGTTGTATAAATATTTTATTAAATCATGTTGCCCAGATTCACAATAGACAGAATAGTTAACAAGCATATTATTCTATACACCTTTTGTTCCTATTACTCGAACATCTTCATTATTGTTATATATATATATATATATATATATATATATATATATATATATATATATATATATATATATATATATATATATATATATATTTGGTAACTCTTTTAAATTTTTTGATTTGTTATGCACTTTCTCTTGTCTGATTCTTGGTCCTCCAAAATCATAGTTATTAAATGATTGTAAAAAATTGTTAACTTCTTTATTTCTGATTCTTGACCCTTCAAAATCATAGTCATTAAATGATTGTAAAAAATTGTTAGCTTCTTCTATATTACGATTTATTTCTGGATTTATATTATCCACTTGAAATCTTTCTTGATTTTCATTATCCGCATGAAGACTTTCTTGATTTTCATTATATTCAATTATTCTATCTCTTAATAAATTGTATAATGATTTTTTTAGCAATTTTGAATATCCTTTTATATTGAGACCATATTGATCTCTATAATTTCTAGCAGCAGTTGGCAACTGCTTAACAGTATTATTAGTTGTGACATCTCTATTTAGAAGGAAAAAAATGTAATAGAAAAAACATGTTTTTGAAAAATTAAAAATTTATGAATGAAATCTATAAAAATTAGATTCTTAAAACATAAACATATATAAATAAAAGAAAATATTATTAAGATTCTTTTAAGAATCTAAATATTTTCTTTTATTTAAATACGTTTACTTTCTTAAATTTTTTCTCTTATAAATATAAAATAAAATGGAATCGCTATTCAAAAAACTAAACCGCTCATACGAGTTTGTAAAACTAACTGAGCTTGAACTGAATAAAAAATATAAGGCTACTGATTTTGAAATTTTAGATACAAAATTTGGTACAAAAATTATTTGTGTTTTAGATGATACATTCAAAATTACTTTACCTGATAGATATACTAAACTTATAAATAAACACGATTTAAAAAAAATAAAATTTTTTTTTTATTTATGTGCATTTATCTACATTGTACCTTTCTTGATATCGAAACGGAATATCTTATTTGCATCAAAGATACTAAAATGTTAAAAAGTTACACAAAAAAGATTTAAAAGAAAATAAATACATCTGCTAAAAATAATTAAAAACTCGATTATTTCAAAACAACAAATTTTCATATAGGACCTCTCTTGCTAGGATGACGGTATATGACTTCTCTGTTTTTGTATTTTCATAGTTGGGAGTAATGTTATGAGTATCGGTCAAAGGTATCGATACCGGTATCATGTGAGATACTTTGTGGTAGAGGCATCAATACTGTTCGATATTATGTTAAAGATATCGATATTTATAAGTATCGAGTAACAAAGTATCCACCAAGTAAAAGATTTTTTTTAAACGGCTGATAACCACCATTCAACAGGGCGAAGTGGGGAACTTAACTAAAAACAAGAGTTGCATCAGTAAAGTATATTCTGTAGTTGACAGTTGTTGACACATTTTCTTTCACTACTGGTACTCAACCAGGTACTGGTATAACTTATAGTGTAAATAACTGGCAATTTACCTTATAATTAAATAACAAAACAAAACAGTGGTAACGCTTAAACATATTAAGGTCTGTTCCAAGTTCCACCACATGCAAAAACTAAAATATTTCGGTTCAAATCAGGCGCTGTATGCAATTTTTAGGTTGAGCGCATGATTTGTACCATAAATATTACGGTTTTCACGCATATTTGAACAAACCTTATTATTCCTGACCACACACATAGCGATACGATACATTCTTCTAAGTATCGATGTGGCGATAGTATTGGTAATTCAGTATCAGTGCCTAAATATTTCATTGTTTAATATCGTTACTTCTATAGTATTGAGGCATCAATAAGATCCCTATTATCGTGTAAAATATAGGCAGTCATTTAATTTTAGAAAATTTAGATTATATTTTTTATTTGAAATAAATTATCTCCAAAACTAAAAATATTTCATTAAACTTTTTTCACTATTAATCATTATTTGTCCTCAGCTCTCATTTCCCAAATTTATGCTTATATTATTTATTGTTTCGGCCTTTACTTGATGAAAATCCATTTAATTTTGAAAGAGTAAAACCAAATTTGGTAGATTTTCACACTTTTATTTTAAAAATAAAAATTTTTAAACAAACACTAACATGACATATGTTTCGAAGTACAACTTCTTTTTCAAATGTGACTATTTACAATTCGGTATCCAATATATATACAAAATAATTTAACAAAACAAAGTACTTAAGAAAACATCAATAACATTACAAAATAAACTAACTATTTAAAGTAAATAAGGGTACTTAGGTAATTATAATATCCATCAAATAACAATAGGATAGCCCATTACCGGGATTATCTCACAGAAAACTGGGAAAGAGGTTCAATAAGGGTGAATTATTAATATCTAATTGATCATTTAGTAAGTTATCTGAATTTTTAAATCTATTTATTTCAAGTGTTTCTAAATGGTTTAATTTAAGGCTCTTATTTTCTACATGTAAAATTTCAAAGTTGTCTGTAAAAGAATGATTTTCAGCTAAAATATGATTTGAGTAAGTAGAATTATTTTTGTTTTTTGTATAGCTATTATAATGTTCGGAATAGCGTTTTTTGAAAGTACGGCCTGTTTGACCAATATACAATTTTGGACAACTACCACAATTTAATTTATATACCCCCGATTTATTATTAGGATTAATTTTACCCTTATTGTTTTTAATATACTTCCCAAGCGTATTATTGGTTTTAAAAGCTACGTTAATATTTTGGTTTTTTAAATATGATGATACCTTTTCACTAGGAGCTCCTATATATGTAAGACTCTTATATCTGCAATTTGGATCTTTAATTATGGGATAAACTTGTTGAATAGCCTGTTTAAAAAGTTTTTTCTCTAAAATGTTGTCTACTAACTTTGAATTAAAATTATTATTTACTGCGATTTGTTTAATGATATTTAATTCTTTTGTGAAGTTCTCTTTGGTAAGGGGAATATTAACTAATCTATGGATCATACTGTTGTATGCTGCCAGCTTTTGTTTGTATGGATGAGATGAACTATTATTTATTGTAATATCCGTATGTGATGGCTTATGAAATATCCCAAAACTATGGCCTTTATTATTTTTAATAATATTTAAGTCTAAAAAATTAATTGAATTATCCTTCTCTGTTTCCATTTACTATGGAAACAGAGAAGGATAATTCAATTAATTTTTTAGACTTAAATATTATTAAAAATAATAAAGGCCATAGTTTTGGGATATTTCATAAGCCATCACATACGGATATTACAATAAATAATAGTTCATCTCATCCATACAAACAAAAGCTGGCAGCATACAACAGTATGATCCATAGATTAGTTAATATTCCCCTTACCAAAGAGAACTTCACAAAAGAATTAAATATCATTAAACAAATCGCAGTAAATAATAATTTTAATTCAAAGTTAGTAGACAACATTTTAGAGAAAAAACTTTTTAAACAGGCTATTCAACAAGTTTATCCCATAATTAAAGATCCAAATTGCAGATATAAGAGTCTTACATATATAGGAGCTCCTAGTGAAAAGGTATCATCATATTTAAAAAACCAAAATATTAACGTAGCTTTTAAAACCAATAATACGCTTGGGAAGTATATTAAAAACAATAAGGGTAAAATTAATCCTAATAATAAATCGGGGGTATATAAATTAAATTGTGGTAGTTGTCCAAAATTGTATATTGGTCAAACAGGCCGTACTTTCAAAAAACGCTATTCCGAACATTATAATAGCTATACAAAAAACAAAAATAATTCTACTTACTCAAATCATATTTTAGCTGAAAATCATTCTTTTACAGACAACTTTGAAATTTTACATGTAGAAAATAAGAGCCTTAAATTAAACCATTTAGAAACACTTGAAATAAATAGATTTAAAAATTCAGATAACTTACTAAATGATCAATTAGATATTAATAATTCACCCTTATTAAACCTCTTTCCCAGTTTTCTGTGAGATAATCCCGGTAATGGGCTATCTTATTGTTATTTGATGGATATTATAATTACCTAAGTACCCTTATTTACTTTAAATAGTTAGTTTATTTTGTAATGTTATTGATGTTTTCTTAAGTACTTTGTTTTGTTAAATTATTTTGTATATATATTGGATACCGAATTGTAAATAGTCACATTTGAAAAAGAAGTTGTACTTCGAAACATATGTCATGTTAGTGTTTGTTTAAAAATTTTTATTTTTAAAATAAAAGTGTGAAAATCTACCAAATTTAGTTTTACTCTTTCAAAATTATGCTTATATGTTAAGAATCATCCATTACCCATTACTTATAGTCCCAAGAACTACTTGTGTTTGTCATCGGTTGATAGGGAGAGTATTATTATTATTTTTTTTTTTCAAATCTGGTAAGATATCAATAAAAATATTTTCCTTGAATAGAATGATTCTCTGTGTGCGAATGTTATCCCAATATCATCCTGTATTGCTCATTTATTAATTTTTTATATCGTATGGATTATTTTCATTACTTTATCAAACTAATAGGCACCTAGCCTGAACCTCGCATATAACCTCGTCATATCTGAATAAAGTTGGTTTATGTGTGTGCATGAAAATGGATATTTATGTACACTTCAATAAGTGTGTATGTATAATTCTTAATATCAGCGGCATAACCACTTCAAATTTTATCTATTTATAAAAAGGATAATCAGATATATTTAAACAAGTTTTTAATCGCAAACATGTAAGTCTCTATATCGTGTCATTAACACAGTTTTTAATAATTTTTCCGTTTTTTGTAGGGGCAAAATTTATATAATTTTTCTCGTACTTGGAATAAATGCTTTGAATGTCAGTGCGAAACTCAACATTTGTTTACATTTGTGGAATGAAGTGGAAGGAAATTCACAAAGTAAGGAAACAAACCGACTTTTATATTATTACTTTATTGAGAATAGGTATTTGTTTTGTGTTATAATAATTTTTTTAACTATTATTTTTATTTCTTTTCTTTTATTCGAAAGGACTTGGGCACTGAAATCCAGGTGTGGGTACGGAAAGATAGGAATTTAAGGTATTCATTACTGCAAGTATGAAATTTACGCTAACTTGAAGGACTTAGAGTAATATACAGGATTGCCTAATTATAATATATGGATAAGAGAAATATAGTCACTAATCTCTAATAAAAAAATAGTATTGACTTCCATCTAGACATCTGTACAGGGTGCGAGCGCCTCTCAATGGGACGAAGCCTCGTGGGTAAACTACAAAATATGTTAAAAATTCCTTTGACACAAATATATAACTCAGTGGCGGCTACAATTTAAAATTAGTTTCATACATACAGAATGTCCCAAAACAATATAAATTTATATTTTTTTATAATTATTTTCTTTTAATTTTAAGTTTAACTCTTAAAAATAATCTTATTTTAATAAAGATTCCCTATACCTTTTTGTGATAATTGTCAATTTGAGATTTTTTGAAAATGTAGTGCTGTTGAAATTAATTACAAAATAGGTAATTAATTCACGAATGTTTGGCAGTTCCTTGGAAAATGTAACTTTTTAACAGAATCATTAAAATATTCAAAAAATGTAAGGGGTGTTTGCAATTTGAAGTTTTATTACAATAAGATGTTATATTACAATAAGATGTTTTATTTAATTACTGCGTTAATTTAAATGGCACGCACTGTATTTTATAGTACCAAGATGAAGGATATTTTTTTTTACTTTAAAAGTTCTCTTAAGGGGACAATAGCACCTCGCAAGTTTCAGATCGGCTTCTCTCTTGCAAGAGTTTGGAGAGAGATAGACCGAGACCCTTTACTAGGTACACGTAGATATATCCGAATGTAAAAGTAGGCCTGCGTGCAGTTAACACTAGGTGAGTGAGAGGTACATTCCGAACACCAAACAACAAATAATAGTTCTTTCTACACAGTTTTCATGTTTACATAACTAATTGACAAAAATTTAAATTACTATGGATTTGTTTTAATATTGTGAATTTTGACTAAAGGGTGATTAGTTTTATTTGATATATAGTTTTGAGAATATAAATAAGGTGTATAAACCAATATTTTGAAATTATGTTAAAATGTTTTGGTACGCGTTTAGATGATCATTTAAGAGTGTTTTAAATTTTAACATATTTTGTATCTATTGCTTATTAAGTCATTTGGAACATATTTCTGACTCCTTTAGAATACTTAGCATATGTTTACTATTACAAAGCATTTACAAACGACTTTTAACAAGGAAAATTTGTTTAATTGTGAAAATAGAGAAAAATCGTTATTTATTTTTTTATATTTATGCGCACAAAAGATACATATCATTTTTATGAAATACGAGTTTAAATAAATCAAATATTACATATTAAAGTAATGTAATTCTACAAATTCCCTAAATATTTATTTACAACCAATGCTAAAAGCATATAATAAATTACAAGTTATATCTATATAACTACCATATTTGACAATATTATAATAATATTACAGCATAATAATAAACAAGTAATTCAATCTTTTTTTTAAGAGATATACCGCCAAAGTCAAAAAATAAATAATTTTGCAACTTAATACTAAATAGTCAGAATAGAAATTAAATTATCAAATAGTACCACACATTTAGTTAAAACAAAGAAAACCATATTTTTGTCAACTTCGCAAAAAAATTACGATATTAATTGCCTAATAACAAACAAATAAGCCGCGGCCATAAAGAGTGTAAAGAGCATTCGTCTTTCTTATGTATTATGTATTCAATGAATAATATTATTTTAAAGTTTCTGTGAAAGAAAAATATTTTTTTGTTAACATGTAATAGTTGTATATTCTGAGCGATCATTTTTCAAATGTTAAAATAAATATTTGAGATCGACTATTTCAGACAAAGGGCTCTTAAATTAAGGTATACCTGATAGTAACTAAAAATGATATACAGTGTGTCTAAGTAAGTTGGCGAAATATAGAAAACTTTATTATTAATTTTAGGAAAAATGTTTTTTTTTTTAAAGGTCGTGCATTGTCTAAAACCCACAACACAAACAACTGATATTAAATTGTATCAGTCGTATACGAGGTTTGTCAAAAATAAAGGTACTTGTGATGTATCTCGCTGTAACTAAAATACTAAAAATACTTATGATCTGTTTTATTACAGGATACGTATTTACACGGATTTATAACTAATTATTATGGCTACACCGGTTATTAAGCGTACAGGTAGATTTGGAGAATAATTATAAATTGAGGAAAAAGTAAATTCTGGGCATGTGCCCTGACAATTTTACCAACATAACCATGTTGCATACGCCACAGCAAAATCATATTTTTTGACGAACCTCGTATACGGTTGATAAAATTTGATATTAGATGGTTGTATTTTCGGTTTCAGGACATGCACAACTTTTTATGAATAATACTTCTTTTTCTAAAATTAGTGCCTGATAAAAAACTTACCATATGCCGCAAAATTATGAAATAATTATGATACAAAAAAAATATTGAAATTAAGGTAAGAAATATATAGGTATTATATATTTTTTATTATTTCCATAGCCATAGAAGAAAAATAAAAAGATGATAATTTAGATTTCATATTTTTAAAATAGAAATTATCATCTTTTTCAATTAGTTCAATGTATGGAGATTGAAGGGGGAACCACACTACAAAATAACAATATTTTTTTCCTGTTATATGTAGTTGCCCTTGAATCTGATAATGATAATCATGATTTTTTTTAAGTTCAAATTCTCCTTTGACTTCATTAAATAAAAGGAAAGTAACTTTTTTATTTTTTACGGCATCTTCTAATGTTGCATTTTTTAAAACATGAGGACATTTAATCTCCAAAATAGAGTCTGTATCATTCTCGATTATACCGTCAGGACTTGCACCCAAAAAATATTAATTTTCCTTTCCAATAAAGAAGCCACAACTACTAACATTATAACCCGTTATGTCCTCGAAATCTTGAATGGCTACTGGTTCATGCTCTTGTCCGTAACGTGTTGCCTCATTACCCTTAAAAGTAGTGTATAAAATGTTTTTAACTAATTTTTCGGGATTTGTTGATTCTTTTATTTTACAAACACGCCCAAAATTGGAAGCAGTAATTCGGAAAGCCCTCTCCTGCTTCCACAGTGTATTTGAACTCTGGCCTCTAGTGTTAATTTCTATTTCTTGAATTTCGATTTTAGATTTTAGCAATAAATCTACCAGTTTTTGTTTTCGATGTAAAACTTCTTCCTCCGTAAGATTTTCCACGATTTCTCCATAGTGTTTGTCAGCTTTGGCACCTTTTATTTTTTTTCGAAAAGCTTTCTTAACTGTTTTTTGAGAAACGCTTTTCAATTTTCGTCGTATAGTAAAACGACTCATATGAATTCCAATACTTTTTGCTATTTCTTCTAAGTATTGAAATTTAGAATTATATGAAATAGCCGCCAACTGACAGCGCGTGTCGTAAGATCTTCTAGTGGAAAAATTGATCTGAAAAATAATGAATAATTTGTTTACTTTTAAAACATTAAAATATTTTTATATCTTTATATTTAGTATTTATCCTTAAAATTCAAAGTTTATAGGTATTTATTTTAAGAAACAATTACTGACTTTTAATTTGTTCCCAAAAATAGGCAACGTCCACAATTCTCCGCCCCCGAATTTCAATTTTTTTTTTAATAGAAATATTTTCCCACACAATTTCAATGTTTGCATCCTCAGTTTGTTGGGAACTTCCAGGAACATTTTCTATATTTTCACGACTTTTATTCCATCGAGACTCGACCAAACTAAAATGTACAAATAATTTTCCATTATTCTTTTTCCCTCAATAATTTAAATATTTTACTTACCATCTACCTTTAGAACAACTTTTACGTCGATTATTTCTTTTGTTGCCCATCGCGACACCACTAATAAAATATAACTAACTATAAAAAAAAACTACCTACTATACAAAACACGAAACACCTCAAAATCTAAAACAATACTAATTTGCGTCGCCTGCATTTCACAATCGCCTGCATTTCAAAATCGGATGAAGGTGTATCCTTCTTCCGAGTGTACCGAGTGAAGTTACCGACAATATCCGCAAGGAAGCAGCAGTACCCAGAGGCATATAAATACAAAATTTTGAACAAGTGTTTTTTAAATACCGTTTGATATTAAGAAATAAAATTTTTATAGCGTATTTATTGTGACATTATCTAGGACATGACATATCCTTTTGCTAAAATTCCAATTTTATGAGGTCACCGAATTTTTTCCTCAGAAACAAAAAATACTTTTCAGAAAAAAAAAAAATTGGGGCCTTCGACAACTTCCTATAATATGTGATTTTAAAATTTCAGCCCATTTCATTAGAGCATTTTCGATTTATCGATGTTTAAAATTGAACTGAGGTGCTATTATACCCTTAAGGTTCTCTATACCCATAACTACTATTTCTAGACCTATTATCAATAGTTTCTATGTATTAATAAATTTCAATCGTTTAATAATAATTTCATATTAAAACATACATTCTATGTAAATTTTCTAAAAAAAATAAATTTTAATAATGGTTCTAATTAATACCTAAATTAAAAAATATCTTTTGTTTATTTACATTGTTTAAAATCGTCAAACTAACAGTCCTCATTACTCAATACTCATTTTCATAACCTCATCGGTTTTCGGTAGAAATTGGAAAATTTTTTGTGATCAAGAATACTTCTACCTTTTTTTTCAAATTGTCTAGCTGTCACTAATTTCTTACTTATTAGCAGTAAATTAGTACATTTAATGCCTTTGGAAAATGTATACGCGAAGAGTTGGCCACAATTGTCTAAACGTCAAAATTTTCTTTAGATTTTATTATGTACTTGAAACGTGATACTTTATTTTTGGTGAA